TCTACCCCTCCTCACAGGCACCTTGGTATTTACCACCGGGATACGCAGCGTCCCCCGTGGCTCCCCCTGGTCCACAGAGGCACTTGGACTATGAGCCGAGAAGCTGAGCCCATGGTGGGCTCCAACATCCCCCTTCCCACCACATCAGCTTCCAACTCCACACAGAAGGAAACTCTYTCCCCACAGCGACACAAGAGCCTCCTCGAGCTCGGCCTGACAGGTGCCGCATGGGAGCAGACATGCCAATTCCCCGCCGATTTCAGTCTTTTGCTTGGATTCTCCAGTGTCAAATAAGGYGCAACACCCTGACAGACGCTTTTTCTGAGGAGGGAGTATTAATAAAACCTCTTGCCTGGGGCAGGCTTTCTGGTCCATGTGTGTTTTTCCACTTTTTCCCTGGTGTGAGACACAGAGCGGGTCTCTCCCCTGCCAGCTGCCTCACACAATCTGTTGGGATGCGTTTCTGCGCAAGGCCCTCCCCTCCCTGCTCCACTGCTCTGAAGCAGGAAAATGGCAGGAAAAGCAGCAGTTTGGGGGCTGCGGCCGCGCTCGAAGCAGGGCTGAGGGAGCAGTGCTGCTCAGGTGAACGTTTCAGTGTCCACAAGGCCTCCGGGCCAGCGCGCACGGCAGCGCCTCGAGGCCCCCGGCAAGGCCAGCAGCCCCCTTCAGCCCACGTGCACTTGCACCCGCTCCCGCCCTTCACTTCTGCTGGGGTAACGCTCCAGGAACGTGGCGGGGTTTGCCGTTTCCCTCAGGAGATTTGTAAATATGCCCAAATAACAGTGTTTCTAAAATCTTTGACTTCATGGTAAATGTGCTCTGATTGCTGTAGGGATTTATCTGGAAAACCTCAAAAGGTTAAGCTGAAATGTAATCACTGAAGTCTACTCCATAAAAAGTTAACAAAAATACTGCCAGAGCTATTTGGCTAGCAAAGACTCTCTAATTCATACATGTCCAAGCCTCAAAACCCTAAAAAGGAAGTACTAACACTAAAAGCCATCTAAAAAGCAAAAGACTAAACTAAAGAGGCAACGTTGTGGCCTCTTCAATATCACATTTCTGTGGCACGTTTTTCCACTGCACATCGTTCAGTCATGTTGGGACAATTTGCTAAATAATGTAGAGGCACTTCATCATGGAGCAGCGTTTGAGGTGATTTACAGTTTAGTCTTTCAGCATCCCACCTGTAAATTGTTATAAATAATGCTAACCCCTATTAGGGAGACATCAAGGAGCTTCCAGGCTGGCAGAATTGATGGGAGGGGGTTGTGAAGGGCCTGGATAGCAGCTCTGCCCGGCCACGTTGCCCCAGCTGCTCCTGTGGCCCACACTYGACCTGAGGGCGACGGAGCAAGTTTCTGGAGGGCAGAGTTTGTCAGGCGTTCGGCAGCGCTCTTGGGTACACATATAGATCGTATTTTAGGCTTAAGTATCTCCATTCTTCTCGAGGGCATACTGTCACTTTTACAAATCAGCTAAATTTGTAGCAAAGTTTAATTAGAAAGAGCTCCTCACAGGGGATCTTGACTTCCCTCACTCGAGGCCTTCCCTCAGAGTGYGCGTGAGGCGAGGGGTGGAGGGAGCCACCTAGCAGGAGACCCACACGACTCCTTCCCTCCCCACAGCTCCTTCCCTCCGCACGGCTCCTTCCCTCCCCAGGCTCTTTCCCTCCGCATAGCTCCTTTCCTTCCCATGGCTCTGTGGCACCGGAGCATCCCAGAAGGCAGAAGGAAACCCTGGAAAGMTGCCCCATGGCGAGGGTGGGCTCGCGCGGTGGGGACGCCGTGCAGCACCGYTGCGTGACCTGATGGCTGCTTTGTATTTCCAGCATCTCTCTCCCTTGAGAAAACAGTTACCTCCACCCACTCCCACGCACAGTCCTGAAGATATTTCCCTCATATTAAGAAATGTGCAACACAGGCTGCAGAAATGAATCGCTCTGTCTGATGGTGAGATTAAACCCGGCAGCTTCCAAGGGAAAGCACACTGTCTCAGGGATGGGAACACCTCTGGGGGACCAGGGATTTGGGAGAGCCAGAGAGGGCTAACACAGCAAACATACTTTTTGCATACATATTAGTTTAGGTTTTTTCACTCCTCTACTTTCAGTCAGATTCAAACCTGTTTTTTAGCTACTTTGAGTGAGTTACCCAGCTTCCCGGCACAAAGCATTTCTGGCAGGTTCCAGTATCCTGCGACTCTCTCACCCAAGAGAAGGAGGGAAGAGGCCAGGGAGAAGCAGCACAGGAGGCACCGCCACCAGCAGCACCGCCTGCGTGGGGCAGCCCCGCCGGCTCCTGCTGCGCGTGGGCGCACGGGCTGAGTGGCGCACCACGGCTGAGCCAGGCCCTGCGGGGMCCCACGGCTGAGCCAGGCCCTGCRGCRCCCCACGGCTGAGCCAGGCCCGGCTGCGCCGTGTCTGGTACCCACACACAGTCCGAGAGATGGTTCCTGTTGCGTGCTGCAGCTGGGAGCCGAGGGAGCTGGAAGCTGAGCCGAGCCGAGGGCCACACTCCCCACACAGCCGCCAYGGGGCTACACAATATCCCACGACACAAGGGGCCGCTCGGCGTCATCCCACAACGTGAGGGGCACGTGCAGCCCCTGCCTCCCCACAGGGCTCATGGGCACCAGGGCTGCCTTGCGGCCTGACAGGAAGAATTCGGAGYGCCATCAATCCTGAACCCTTTCCACTCAACTGTTCCCATCGCAAGCAGATGTTTAKCCATTTCTGGGAAACGCGCTGCAAAATGCCAAAGCATTGGTGATATTGCTCTCCCAGAACAGAGAAGCAAAGTAAAAGCACAGGCTCTAATTCATCAAAATATTCTAATATCACAAAGCTCCTGCGAGAGTCTCACAGCTCGGCAGACGTGAAAGCTCATTGCAATTCAGAATACAAAAGCTAAAGGGGCTGCTGTGATAGAGCAAGGCTGGAAGCAGCACCCTGGTAATCCTGAACTTCCCCTGTTATAAATACGTTTTGTTTTAATCTGTGCTGCGAGCCCAGTGCACCCAGCACACAGCAGCGTCAGGGATACTGATTTCCTGGTACTCACGTGGAAGGGGAGAACACCTTGTTTCCTGAGCCAGCTGTGCCGAGGAGTCGGGAGGCAGAAAGCTCTCGTGGAAGGAAACGGGAGAGAATGGCAGCGAGCACCATCCGCCAGGGAGGGCCACTGGGGCTGCTCCCAGAGGCGCCGGTCCGGTTGTGCCCAGCCGCAAGCCCCGTCCACTGCCCAGAGTCGACCTGCGGCCACGCGGGACGGGGTTGWCTGAAGCAGCCTCGGAGAACCAGGGGAGCCACAAAGTCACTCTGCATCACACGGAGTTTGGAGGGATGGAATAGCTCAGGGCATGGGATACCAACCCTTCCCAGTAGAAGGCCCGTATATATAAAACATACACAAACAAAATATATATATAAGCCCCCGTGCATGTATGTGTAGCTCCCAGTTTAGAGACTAAAGGTACAAGGTGTGAAAGCAGGTGCTGAAGGAAGACATCTCTCAGAAACAGGGCTCTGTTGGGCCCGTGTGGGGTAAGAGACCCYTGGCACAACCAGGTTCAGAGCTGAAGGGGTGCCAGTCACCACTGCAGCTCCACCATGCTCCCCCTAAGGAGATGACGCTCCCAGGCTTGGGAGCCCTCCCTGTGCTACTGCAAAGCCGCCTTCTGTTGCTTTCCTGTCCACCATTACTGAAAATTGGCTATCTGCTCTTTCTGTGCCTGCCCGTACTGCAGGTGTCCAAGCCACGTTGCTGACTTAAGCAACTGCAGGGACAACGGCAGGTTTCCCTGTGGATCCTATGGAGCAYGGCCAGACACCCCAGCTCCTGCAGGCTTCACGCAGGGCTCCTGCCAGCACGTCACGTGGACCCAGGCGAGCTGCGCTTGAAAGCTGCTGTTCTTTAAAAGTTGTCTGCCCTCTACGTGGCAAAGAAGTGAACTGGTAACTACAAGCCTCAGTGAAAAGTTGCCCATAACAGCCCAAGCCTACTAGTTCAGCAGGGAGAGGGACCAGGGATTTTAGTTACTAAGACGTTTTCTCTCCCAATGAGATTAAACCCATCCATCCAGCACTGCAGCGCGTGGGAATGAATCTTGGCTTTACTGTGTCCACCCTGCAGTTGAACTAGGATTAAGCAGCAGAGACAAACTCACGCCTTCTCCTCCTCCTCCTCTAGCAAACAATCCTCAGGGCTCATCTGACCAACAGCTAYTCCAGACTCTTAAGCTTTAACTTCTAAAATGAAACCTTAAATAACTTGAATACCTTAAATAAATAGAAGTTTGTCTCCTAAGACTGAACTCCTGGAAACGTGCTTTATGTCATATCTGCTGCGTTCCTTTATGCTCAGTGTCACACTTCAGCAATACGCCTGTGTCAAAAGAAAACTCAAACAAGGAAATGTTCATTAACACATTTATTTGTTCATCTTCAAAGACAGCAAAAACATTCTATCTGCTTGGAGGCATAAATGTGGAAAACGTGGAGTTATGCTATCAAACAAGACAGATTTGAAAACAGAACAAAATGTGGTCTGTTCACTTGTCTGTAGGAGCTGTATTCTGAATTACGTGACAGACCAAGACAGACCGAGTCCTAGGTATAGATCCTGCATATATATATATATATATACACACACACACACACACACACACACGTTTATATCCAAGTTGATGGTTCTGACCTTATGTGTAACAGGTGACTCTAGCATATCTAGTTGAGACTTGCATTTTTACATGTGCACTTTACATTTTACATTTACATTGTTTCTTCCAGTTAGTTAGTTTCCCTAATAGGAAATTAAAATTTGGTTTCAGTACTATCTATCATCAATCTTACTTATTCCATCTATGTCTAGGTAGCTGCATGTAGTGTGCTTCTTAGTCTACATTTGGACRGACTATTTAGATATGAACGTATTCCTTCCAGAATGATGACGACCTCTCTATGACTCAGGCATTAATTTTCCAAACAGCTTCACAGGTAGATGCTGAAATATCTTACATACATCATCATAATTAAGGAGACTTAGCCTCACTAATGTTCAGAAAATATGCTTTTCATAATCAGATTAATTTCTGAAGTGCAGCCCTCCTCTCTTCTATGAAATGTTAGCCAATAAATACACCATCTGATACATCCACAACAAAACTCACCAAAATCTTGGCCAGGAAGCAGTTTTAATTGCCAAGTCTCCCATAATGTGTTTTAAAGATAGCAACATTACCATTTCAGAACTATTCAGAAACTGATTTGCTGTAATATGTTTAATTAAACTATGGTTTGTGGCAGACAACTGGCTGCTTGGGCTAAAGTGATTTACCTGCTTTCATAATTTCACTAAAGTCAAGTATTTGTACAATTTCTCTGAGCACAGAAAAACCTGGAACTGCAGTTCATACTCTGCCAGAAGTATTCTTTTCTGTTTGCAATGTCCTAAGGGAGAGAGGATTTCTGGAAACACCTGGTGAAAGTATTACAGTGATAATGAGCCAGACAAATGAGGAGCTCCTTAAAGAAACTACGGAATCTATCTCGTGAAGAGACATGGGAAAAAAAGTTCCGTTTTGCTAAGCTGAGCTCTGATCTCAGCAGCCCTTACCAACAGGACTACGCCTGGCGAGAGATCACCAAAGAAAACTGATGCTGGAAGAGGAGCTGGCAATTCACTTAAGTGGGATTTTGTTTTCCCTAAGGAACCACTGAGTCAGTAGAGCAGCCAAGCAACAGCGAGCTCCAGCTTTCAGTGTGAGACGCTGCTCCGAGGCCTCTCCGTTGTGCTGGAACTCTGCCCGTCGCCAGGAAGGGGAAGGGGGCCAGGATCCTGTCCAAGTTATAATGCATGGAACCAGATTCTGCCCAACCTGCCCGCCCCACCGATGTGATCTGGAAAGCAGAGCTCATCTGCTTTTTAGCAGATTTACGGCTAAAAAGCGTCAGACAGAGCATCAGCATCAGGCACACGGTTASAGGGATGGGAGGGAGGAGCCCAACAAACATCACGCTCTGCTGGGGCTTCTGGAAGGGGAAGATCAAGATCGACACCCACATCATTATAAAGTAATAAAAGTCCCCTTATTAAAAGCCTCCTAAAAAAAACATTGTCAACATGTACAAAAGGGCTAATCTAGGAGAGGAATTTGTGACTATTTTTTCATAAACATACACAAGTTAGCACGAAGTAACTAGCATAGATTGGCAAAAAAGAGTCATCATGGATGCTATTTAATGTAACTGTACTATAACTCTGGGGACACAAATACATAATATGTTCAGTTGCTGCAGAAATGTAAATGAAGTTAAAACCCTTAAGAATCTAGGAACTTTAAAAAAATATTATCAGCTCTTCTACAATTAGAATTTGGAGTTTTTTGTTCTTTACTTTTTTTTTTTTTTTTAAATCTAAAAAGGATAAATTAAAGTACTCCAGTTTTGCATAATTTTCTGGTAAAAAAGCAGGTACAAAGATCTAAAAGTAGCAACCTCTTACTAGCAGACCTGCTATACTCATCAACATTTGAAGAGTTTTCAGATTAATGTCATTTTCACATGTAATTTGCAAAGTCATTGTATGGTTTTTATATTWAGTTATATTTATTCATATTTATTTATTATTATCTTTTAGTATTTCATATTCATAACACTGAAATATAACGAGAAAACTAGATAATGTTATTGTTTATATTTAACTTAGGATCTTGTTACTCTTCTTTGCCCTTTTATAGTCTTTTACCTCACCATAACATTCAGTAAGGAGATTTATGTATGTATCAATGGTTGTACACAGGAACACTTCCACAAAACTTTTCAGTCTTTTAAAAACATTCTAAATTAACATGGAGATTGGAGTTTAACGAGAGGTTGTTAATGCTGCATTTTTACTATGTCTTATTAAGACGAAATCCTTCTGTCACATGTCAACTAGTTATTCAAATTGCAACTCTGAAGAAACTAGTGGATTGAGTTATTACTATGGCAAAAGCTATTTCTTGCTCAAAGACTGTTACAAAAACTAGCTACAGGTCTAATGAAGCCTGTTTCAAACTCTGAATCTGGAAACCTTCCTTTATAGACAGGAGAGGTCAGTTATCTGGATTCACAGAGCTTTGTTTGTGTAGTTTGAAAGAACAAGGGAAATATGAAAGCTGCCATCAATTTTCCTACATTAAATTCAAGGGGTCCTGGATCATGTTCTGACACACAGTCTGCAAAGTGACAGCTGCCATCTTCTGTCCTTTAGCTGCTCCTGAGGGCAAGGGTGGTAGAGCTGGAAAAGGCCCTCTGAGAGCAACGGAGCCCACAGGAGGCAGAGAGACACAGGTCACGAGGGGAAACCACTGCTGAGAATTTCATCAAGAGGAGAGACTTGGCCAAAAAACAGGAGAGATTTCTCCCAAACAGGAATCATAGCCTCAGATTATTTCTCAGGAACAGTCTAAGTAGATTTTTGGTTTACTCTGTTGTGCCAATTAACACAGGATTCAATGACTATAGGCTTTGACTATACAGGTTTTCCATAGTTTCACCTACCAACTAGAGCTTGAACATACTTATTTGTGCTTCATGACCAACCTGTGCTATAAATTAGAACAAAATTGTACTTCAGGGTGCTACCTGGGCTGGATCCACTCTGTTCATGTTATAATTGAGTTCTAGATATTAAGCACACACAGAAAAATCACTGAAAGTCCCATGTACAAGCATCATGCTCGGAGCTTTCTGAAGGGGACAGTAATCTGGGATTTAAAGAATATTTTGCGTATACATAGAGAACCTGACCTTACACAGTGTAGAGAATCTTGGACTCCCATTCACTTCAGAGGGCATAAAGGATGCTTAGGATCTTAACAGGAGAGTTGTGATACATTGAAAGCAAGCAAGCCATTGCGGCAAAAACAAGAAACTTTTTTTTCTAGATTACTCTCTTCCTTTTCTATTTCAATGACACCAGCTATTCTGACACATTGCGCCACACAGCAAGAATGTGCTCACATTTAAATGACAATTAAAATTCCTACTGAAATTCCTGAAATTCTTACTTTGTTGCATGACTTCAAGGATCTTCCCCATCTCATTCTTTACATCCATCAGCATTTTTTTTCTTTAAGTAGGTAGGCATTCTCTACAAATGAAAACATGAGAAAACAAATATTGTTTTATTGTGTGTATATATATGTGTATGTGTGTGTACACATATACATCAACATAGACAAATACACATATTTTAAATTTAGGCTTGGCATCTGGGAAGGAAACAGGAAACACGTTGTTGTTTAAACCAAGAAAAATAAAGATGATGTGCAATTTCCTGTCAGAGATCAGGTTAAATTTTGATACCAATGATATTTTGCAAAAACTCAGTGTACCGGTAAAAAGTCTGGATAAGTACTGGAAAAGTATGGTTTAAGAGCAAATACTGAACCTGGGAGGATCCTGAACTGGTGTCTCTCAAAGATGTTCCCATGGGGTTTGAGGAGCTTATTTCTTCATTAAGTTCTGTTTTAAAAAAGAAAGTGTGTTAGTGCTTCAGATTTACAGCATTCCTATTAATAGTAAAAAGACGCCCAGAAGCTTTATCTGAAAAAAAAAAAAAACAAAACACTCATGTAACACAGTAGAGAGTCACAAGAGAAGGAAATTTTACACGGCACAGGGATGAGCCACGTGACAGAGCTTAGAAACACAKTATTGATGGGGAGATGAGTGATTCTCACTCTTTTATTTTCAATTCTTGCACTCCTGCCTGGCAGTTCTCAGCTCAGGGCCTGCTCTGCAGAACATGTCCCGGTAGGAGCCTCTGGAGAGTCAAGAGGGAAAGCGTCTGGGAGGGTAGGATGGCAAAGAGCCCTCCAAGAGACGACAAGGCAGTGGGGAGGGCCCAGCCAGGGGAAGGAGCAGTGCAGGAAGCAGGAGGGGACGAGGGGATTCAACGTGGAGCTGCAGAGCCGAAGGCTGCCTGGCCATGGCTTTTCTCCACAGCCTTCACCCACCAYGTACTGTCTTGCCTTCGTTCTTGACCAAAGGAAAATCCAATCCAGACCAAGCCAAAACAAAAAAAGGAGTTAATACAGTTCCAGTGTGAGATGGAAAATAATGTTCACAGCAATGTATGCTGGGGCAAGTTGGAACATATTGAAACTGTGCAAGAACAGCACTTGTGACTCTATAAAATGAATGTTACCTCCACCACAGGCCTCAACTCAGTATGACTTCTAACTAGTATTTCATCTGTACCTGTATGCAAACACGAAATGGAATAACTAAATGTCTGAGGAGTATGTGAGAAGCTGCCTAAGTTACCATAAGGAGTCCCAGCTTGCATCAGGGCATGTTACAGATTTACTCCGCACCGAACTGTGCAGTTACATCGATGAACATTTTCTGCAACCAGGCTCAAGTACATCATGGAAACCGTCTCTCAGCAGCCCACATCTAAAAAATACTGAGTAAAGCCTAACTGAATACAAGGGAGTCTGCTGCTGGTTACACAATACGTAACCTCTCCGTTTGCCTTAGGAATGCTAACATTGTGGAGCAGGAGACAGCTGGAAAGTGCTCATGTGGGGTCTGGAGCACCTGTCAGTCTCCCAGCTTACACCAGTGCCACATTTTTTGKTTTTTTTTTTTTTTTTGGTGTTTCCAAAGGAACCTGGATATTGAAAAAGGAGAGGAGGTAAGACAGGTAGCTGACCGGGCCCCAAACCTGACTAAGTGTGATAGTGCCACGTGCATCTGTAAGGAAACATTTAAAAGCAGGTCCTGACGCCACACATCTTACATATATTGATGGGTACAAAAAAGGACTGGAGATGTGCACATGACAAATGGGGAGTTGCTGCATAAATTGCTTTTCTCATGCACCTTTTGGCCTTTTGCCTGCGCGCTTGGACACGAAGCTATTACTGGCTGATTAACAGTTCCACCCTCCCAGCAAATACAAAGCATTATCAAGCGCAGCTGGTGGAACAGTGAGCTATAAAGGGCTCCTTGGTGTTTGCTTGGGCTGTGCTAGTTGAGAACAATAAAAGCATCTCATATTTGCAATGATATTACATGTATATCACATCAAACCATATTCTTCTATGGTATTATGTTATGTAAAAATGCAGAAAAAAGCACTAACATGTTTAACAATATTTAACTATAATTATTCATAATATTACTGTTGAAAAAATACAATGAAAATTGACTGGTCAAATTACAGTGCAGTTGGCATTGACACCCTTGCTGTTCTTGGGGCATGCACRTGTCTTTGCAGAGCTCGTTGAGTGCCGAATACTTTTACAGATCTCACTATGTCCTCAGGAGAAAGCTGGGCTGTCGGCTCCTCTAACTGTACAGTGTACACAGCAAGAGGAGTGCAAACCACATCTAGAGTGACTGAGGCCAGAACAATGACCAATTTCAAGGAGACCCCAAATGTGGGCACCGCTCTCTCAAAGGATTAAAATGAAAATGAAACAGGCAGCACCTCCCTTCTTTCACTTGCAYGCCCAAGGGATGGAGAAGTATTCAAATCCCTTTTGCATTGCTCAAGGTCTGCTGGCCCTTATTAAAGCAAAACAGCACTGACAGAAACTCATTGGCTGATAAAGAACCGTAGCAGGGCTCTTGCTTCGGGCACGTCAAAGTTCTTTAAAAAAAGGAAAAAAGTGGAAGGCAATATTTGAGGGGATGGCAAGAAAAACAGGAACATGATGCAGAAGGTGACTCAGAAACCATTTTTCACAGTGTCTTCCAATAAAAGAATGCAGKGATCCCTAACGAAAACAGCAGGCGGTAGGCCCAAAAAGGGGCAAGAAGGGGTTCTCAGTGCATGGCTAACTCACCTGGGGGCACTCGCTGCTGCGGGATGCGGAGGATGCCGAAACCCGCGTGTTTGAGAAGTGACAGGAGAAAGGAACAGGAGAAGTGTCCATACCCTCTCCCGCTTCTAAGCTATGGGCCACAGTTAGAAAAAGGCCAGGTGGATTTTCGGTTTGTCTTTGKGCATCTGTTCTTATTTTGTTGTTTTTGGTTTTATTTACAAACACACTTATTCCTGTGTCAGTATTTCTGGACAGTAACAGCAAGGCTGCTTGTGGATAACCAAGCACGAGAGGAGCATAAACACAGAAGCACCCAAACAGCAAATCCCAAACTTGCTTGACCTGGCACAGTGCTMAGGTGAGAAGATACTTGCATTTTGGCAGATTTTGTGACTAACTTACCTAAGTGCACAAAGTATTGTAATATAATACCTCAAATAAAAGTCAGTAACAGTACCGCTACGTTTCCACATGTACTTAGCTACACATATGCAAACAACAATGCATTTGYAGCTGGCCTTAACACGAGTGAGCTCTTACTACATTATACATACAAAACCCGTAACATAAGGCAATACACAGTATTTTCATTACATCTGTTTTCACAGATACAACGAATTTTATGAACATACACTCACTATTAACTAGCATTGCATTTTTGTCACAGAAAGAGAGAGAGAAAGGAAGACTATTGCACCTTGTTCTGTATCCCTTAACCCTGATTTGACAGGGTGTGCCTGCTAGCTTAAGGCAAAAGATGAGACATAACCCATTTTTCTCATCTAAAAATTACTTGCATTTTGAAAGGTCATGTAGCTGTTTCCAGTTATATAATCCGTACAGTGATGCAGTGGGGCAGAAATGAAGACACGGCAGCAAATAACCTCACTGCCAGCAACATATGTACGTCCTGCATTCGTAGAAGATTCTCCTATTTTTTGTGTCTCGATAAATGAATATTGATGTAACGATCTTTTAAAAGCAGATTGGGCCCGCGTGTTCAGCCGCATGGAGCCTGAGTGGTTCCTAGGAATGGAGGCAGTTGTACTCGGAGGTTTTATGAATATAAAGATTAATGAATTTGTACAATTTGGGCATGCAAAGCATTTTTATCAGGCATATTCCATTTAGAATAAGCAGTAAACCATATATAAGGGCTGTGTCAAAGTTTACTGAATAGGGCCCTTGGTAGCTAATGTAACATTTCTCCAACAAATCAAAGGTATTGTTCTATGCTCACATGAATATACAGTAGCCATTACCTTAAATTTAAAACTCACTGTGAGCAGCAAACACACTGTGGGGATATGAAGGCCATATTGTATCAGTGGAGTCTGCAGAGATTTTCTTCATATGGCTTTGTCCGGTTGAAATATATGGTGCAGTTGAAAGCTAAAGGGATTACTTTTGAATAGTCATCACAAAGGTTGATTATATTCGTATATCATTTAGCTGGACCCTGCAGGCTATTATTCCATTAGCTATGCTGGTCCCGCACTGTCAAAAAGTTGATCACACAATGTAAAAAGGTTACATGCTCTGCCAAGGTATGTGAAGTAACTCAGAACAGCCATCTTTTAAGAGCACTACAGCTTTCTACCTGAAGTTGGATTGCATTTAAAATAATACCTACAAAACGGAATAAATACAATAAACTGACTTCTGTTTCCTATTTTTCCTGTTTTTGCAATTTAAAGAAGTTAATTGCACCACATAAGATATTTACTACAGTATGTTTTTCCAACCTCAAACCCAAAGAACCATACTTCAAAACAGCTGGCTTTAAGCTAAACATTCAGTGAAATTACATTTCTGGTGAAAAAAACCATGTGCTGATTAGATTTCTCTTGCAGATACAAACATGCGCGCGCGCACACACACGCACACATTCTTTCACTGCTTAATAAAATGGCTCTTCAGACAGTTCCATTATGGGGACGCCTTAATATTATTTTATGCTAAAACATGGCCAGAACATTAGATTGAAAGCATCTTAGCGCTGCACACGGCAGAGCAATCATGGAGCATCCCCAGCCAGCAGTGCTGCCATTGGGGAGACAATGCAAACAGCACGGGCTAATGAATCACGCTAGTTATTAATCACAGGCAGTTGTATGAGCAGCCTGTAATAGAGATGAGCTCTCAGCATCAGAAAGGTTAGAGGTGGGATTGAGAAGAGCACGGGAGCTAACCCAGGTGCATTTTAGGACAAGTTTATTGACGAGCATTTGCTTCAGCACAGCGGTGCCTACCSTTGCTTTAGTCTACGCGAGCGGGCAGGAAAGGAGAACCAATTCAGCCGGCTCGGTCCACTTGGCTTTTGGCTTCTTGTAGGACAATTGGCAATAACAAATAAATAAATTTGCAGATACAAGACCCATAGAGCTTAAGGCTCAGTCAAGTTTCTTCTTTCATGAGACAAAAGATTTTTCATCTTTTGTCTTTGAAGGATTATAAAACAAAATTGTTTAATTTAGACTGTAAAAATGCAGGAGTTTGTTCTCTTTTCACTTTACCACATATATTATACAGGGCAATGAATGAATCTTTATGAGTACGAATGGGAGMCTTAAATGAACTACAGCTGGGATATTGAACAGGGAGGTTTCTCTGGGAAAAAAAGAAGGGTTTATAAGGTAAGTTTATGAATGAGAAGCAGGATTTATTTTAAATGCTTTCAAGGGGTGT